AAACCTTTATTATAGGTTTCTTAACTTTGCACCTTCTCAATGAGTTATAATTACAATGACCAACCCCAATAATGAATGGCCATGCTGGTTGGGAACTGTGGAAGTTGTCACCCTGATACATCTCAATATCATTAGGTCAAGGAAGTCTGCATAGCTGTATGCCAGCTGATGCAATTCAGCCAAAAACAGTAAGAGTTAGGCATGCAATTATCTCCCTGAAATCAATGGCCATCAAAATACTCAGCTTTGGCAGGACCATGCACAATACTTTTGCTTTTAAATAGTAATGTTGGAAGGAGGACATAAAATTGCAGTGCAAAAAACAATCATGAAAGAAACCTGTGATTCAGTAGCCCAGCCCCAGAATTTAAAGGGTGAGAAAAGGGGCAGATAGCTTGATACATAATGATTAAAAGGGACTAAGTATTTTGCACTGTATGTATATATTTGTCCAATTATGGACAAACTGAACGTTAAGGCTGATGTCATAAAAGAGTTGCAGACAGCTGCTACATTTGCTTCTCAAGATGTTCAAAGCACCTTTCAACAATCTAATGTGAAGCATTGCGCAGCCCTATTAGGTATGCCACAGATCTTGTTTTTTCTTCTTTTTTGCTGTTTCTACTGGGAGAAGAAAGAAAGAGGCATGTATGTGTTCCTGATTGTGAGGCTGGGTTGTGTTTGAGAGAGACGAGTTGCATGTGTACAGTATATGAGGAAATTGGTTAATTTTATACATGGGGTTCTGCATTTATATGCTCCTTTTATAGATTAGTTTTTTCATATTCTTTTCAATTTAGTACTACAAGTACTCTAGTAATGTATTTGAAGCGTGTGGCATTAAATAGAAAACAACCAAGTAAATGTGGTTTCGGGTGTTCACAAATCAGGACCAATAAATGAGGTGCCTTAGATATTTAACACTGTAATTAGTGTTAGTTTCATGTATTCCATAATCCCACTTGTTGTCTTTAAAATGACTGAAGGGAGAACAATATTAAGTGGGGGCTGCAGTTAAACTTTCTGGAGAGGCTGAAAGTCACAATAGGTGAGGCAAGGAGACAAAGTGGTTGATGTTAAGTCCGTTCTCAACAGAGATTTGGGGGGGGGGTTGTTTGTTTGCTTCTTCCTGGCTTGGAAGAAATTAATGCTTTCTTTGCTTCTTTCAACTAAATAAAAAGACATGGAGACAAGGTATACTGATAATGGTTAGCAATTGTGGTTGGAAGGAGCCCAGGAGCTACAAAATAGAAACTTGGTTGGGGGAAGGCACACACACAACTCTAAGGCTCAGGTTTCCACCTCTGAAAAATGATCTCTTCTACGTCATTATTATTATCTTCAAAGTCCTCAACCACAATGGGTATGTCAGGTGGCTATGATGGAAATAATTGCCATGTAAGGATTTTCCTTTCTGGGGAACTTCCTTCCTACAGAGATTTAAAAGCCAAGGTAAAGCCTGTTTCTTCCAGTTGGTGTGTAATCTTTAATATTATATTATTAAAAAAAAATTGGTTTCTAGAAATACTAACTGCTGTAAGGGCATCTTCCAATATGGCAATACGTAAAATAAAAATAGTAAGTGTTACCCCATTACAAGTGGTAGCCTGAGAGAAAATAATTTGTGGGGAGAGTGGTGGCATTCAAAACAGAAATTTTCTGATTTCCAGCAGTCTCTTCACCATTCTGCTATTCGGGTCTGATCCTTCTATACCTCAAACATAAATGTATCCACTTCCTCTCGGATATCGAGGTAACTCAACTTCTTCCCAGCTTCATCCCTGGCACTCAGAAGCATATCAAGGAAAGCTTTTCTTACTTTGTTCCTTCTTTGCTCATTGGTACTAGGAGCACCATTTTGATGCTGCTCCTGTTGCTTTATTTTGTGAGCTTCTTCTTCAATAACCTTAGATAGTGGGGAGAAAATACCATTTATTATATATAATTCAAGGCATGCTCTGTGCAGTACCATACAAAAGTAATTAGCAATATCTGCCATTTGTTAAGAGAAGGATTATACGTTCTGATGGTAAATAGAGGAGAGATGCAACCACCGGCGTTAGGCACACTTAGATGGACATTTCTTTCCTACAAAACATGTAGGATCAGGCTCAAACTACAAATCAATTAATTTTTCTTTGAAACCAATCTGGACAAAACAACACAGTGTGAACCTGGATATTAAAGAGATAAATCTAGCAGGATCTCCTTGTTCCATTGAAAAAATCCTCACAGAAGTTGCTACTATAGGTTTCTTGAAATTTTGTACCTGCTAAGGATTCAGAGAAAAATATGAACTCAGGAATTGACCCTATAATACTTGGTCATAAATAGAAGGTAGGCAAAAGGCTTTTATGAGTATTAGGATCTCCTAGATACCCACATATAGAGACTTTTCTGGTGGTGACAGAACAGCAAAAGCTAAATTATTGGCCCAACAAGTCCTAGTTTCAAATCCTGATACAGCCACAAAGAACAATAGGCATCTGATGATTTGGTCATTATTTCTCAACCCTGCAGCCTCTATAAGGATAAAACAGGAAATCTCACAAAAAGCTATTTTACTTGAGGAACAGAAAGAAATATAATGAATCAGATGGAATGCCTTAAATATTGATGGCGCTTCACCAACAAAGGTTTGTCCAGGGCATTCCTTCAAAGCTGCTCCATCAAACCATCTTCCCCACCTCCATTCATGGTTTCTAAATGCAAAAGTGCTGCATTGCTGTGCTTTGCACTGCTTCTGGGGTATCACCCAGTACTTCCAGGGAACTACTGGAGGAGATACATAGTGGAACAGGGAGAGAAAGTCTCAGAAGTGACGTAAATCAGGCTGCTGACTCTCTCAGTGAGGAGAATCATATTGTCTCCATGGTGCAAAGCTTCTCATCAAAGTGAAATGAGGCCACCTCACACAGGCCTAAAACTCAGATAAATGCCAAATATGAATCTGAAAGAAGCAAAATTGCATAGCTAAATAGAAATAATTCCACGTTCTGTTGACATGAAGAGGAATTCTGGAGCTCACTTTATCTGTAAAGCTATGAAGTATCTTCAGGTTCCTGTTATGTTCTCTTCCTCTTCCGGACATACTGTACAAAAGTTTGGGCCAAATCCATGGTGTCTTCTGTCTATGATGAATTAGATCGCTCATCCTAGAGTAACAAACAACAAACCTATAATACTTTTGTAAAAAGATGTATCAAGCGTAGCTAGTTATACTTTATTATAATCAGTGGCCAAAGTTGAATATTGACTATCAAATATTGCTTCAACTGTATAAAGGCCAGTGGAGAATATACGAACTTCAGGTTTGAGTTGTCATCTTCCTTCTGAGGTTGCTTCCCTTCCTCCAGATGTTTCATTTCCAGGCTAGGTAACATCATAAGTGCATGGAGAAGTGGAGTTTGCTGGCTGTTTACACGCATTAATGATGTTACCTATCTCTGGTAATGAAACATCATCAGACCAGGCCAGAGAACACCAAGAGCTTAGCATGTAGAGTTTATTATGTGAATATGTGGTGTACCTTTGCTAAATGTTGAAGGATTAAATAATGGTTTAATGTTAAACATCCCTCAGCCAGTTTAGTCTTCTGCCGTAATATTATTTTTCAGCAGACACTTGTCCATTAAGGTGTCTGGCAAACAGCTTATTTATGATGTTGGACAGACTGGTAAGATGGTCATTCGAAGGAGCAGTTTTGTCTGAGCTATACAGTCTATATGTATAAACTAATTTGTCAGTATTGGGTCCCACCAGGTGGACTTGCCTTCATTAATTTCTGACTGTGGTCCATGGGAATAGATCACCATTTTTATACTCACCTATAGACAGCTTTGACATACTCTGAATTTTTGTTGTTTTGTGCACCAATATTTTTGCCCATTGCTGTTTCTAGAGGAAAACAAAAAGCATGGAAGACTGTGACCCAGTTCACAGTGCACACAAACCCATAATACAGGTTGTCTAGTTTTGACTTGGTATCTCTTGTGAGTTCAGGTAGTGAGTTCATAAACCTTAGGGTTTTGATTTAGAATGTTTATGGATCCAGGCAATTGTGGCTCATTCAGTAAGCCATGGTTAAACAACCTGGGTTTAGAGTGATGTGTGAGCACAGCTATTGATTAAATTAATGACATTCACAGGCTTAGAGGGCTGAGCTAATTTATTTCTGTGAAGCTGTCCAAATTTAATTGAATGACATGTGAAACACAGAGTATTTGAGTTTGTTTTGCTGATTTCTTTGAGATATTTGAGTTCTGCAAGAGCTCCATTCAGAAGGAACTCTTGCCTCAGCCTTCCTCCTGGTTTCTGAGCTTCTGGTCCTATAAAAGGAATGCTGGTTGGATGGCTCTACCGTTCCCCTTCAGCAGCCCAGTCCAAGCAATCAGAACTGACAATGGCAAGATTTTCTCTTCTTCTCTGGCAAAATATAAGTAACATGCAAAGGTCCAGCCTGCTTGATCACTTTTCTTTTCCTTTCGTTTTTTTGTAGAGTTGGAGTGATGAAATTATACTGCTTAAACACAGAGGAGCAGTTATTTTCACTCCTCAGTATTTCAGTATTTCAACCCATATGAAAGTGATCATGGATCACTTTTAAATTGTTTAAAAGAGTAAAAATAGTGATGGTTTGGAAGTGTCCACTCTCTTGATAATGCATATCCTTTTTTCCATAGGAAATGGCTTTCTCTCCTTCTTGAACACAACTGATTGTTTCTCTTTCCATGCACTGAGAATTTAAATTTAATTCTAATTCAATTTAATTGTCATATTTCTAGGCTGCCCAACTCACAGATAACTTTGGATGGTTTCATAAACTAAAAATGCAGTAACATTCAAAGAAAACACTACACAACATAAAGTAAAACGCAACCACCGTGTGGAGGGAAACAACAAAAAATACAACATACCTCCACTTTTCTCACTATTAAAAGGGGATCCACCCAAATATCTACTCCAAATCACCCAGCCCCAGGCCTGGGAAACCAATCAGGATTTCAAAGATGCTTGAAGGCAGACAAGGCAGGACCCACGTGAATCTTTGGGGGGGATATGTTCCACTTCCACGTCCATGTGCAGAGACAGAGACAGAGAAGACTCGCTTCCTGAGTCCCACTAGACAGCTTTGGGTAATTGATGGGGCCTGGATCAGGCTAATCTTAATGGAGAGAATAGGATGGCAGACACCATAGGAGACAGCTGGTCCCTCCTATAGCTAGTTCCTAAGCCATGTAGGGCATTATAGGTAATAACCATTACCCTGAACTGTACCTGGAAGCCAAATGGCAACCAGTACATCTCACATAGCAGGAGTGTTACATGGGCAGACCATGGCTTGTCCATCAGTGCTTATGCTGTTGCATCCTGGACTAGCTATAGTTTCCAGATGATCCTGCAAGGCCAGATCCATATAGACCATGCTGCAGTAGTCCATCTATGAGGTGACCAAGGCATGAATGACTATGAGGAGGGCCTCTCACTCCAAGAATGGGTGCAACTGGCACACAAACTAAACCTGTTACAAAGGCCTTCCTAGCCCCAGCTGCCACTTGCTCCTCAAGCAGGAGCTGAGAGTCTGGGAAGACCTGCAAGTTGTGCACAAGTCCTGAGAAGCACAGGACAGTCCCGTTCAGGACTAAAGGTAGAAAAGCCCCAGAAGTGAAGAACCAAACATTCAAAGCCACTCAGTCTTGCTAGGGTTGAACTTGAGCCTCCCCATCCAGGCTGATGATAGACCCCCAAACTGATGGTTGACCCTTTCCAATGGTCTCATATAGATCTTCTATAGAAGGGGCTAAAGCATGGAATTACAAACCAGAGGTTTCAGGCTTGACCTCTTCTTCCCCTATCATTATCAACTGGAAATGGCTACAGAAAAAGGAGAACCACCACAATACTGTGGCCCCCACTTACAGACCTGTAGCCAGTTCAGAACAATACCATGGTTAATGGTATCGAAAACCCATTTACATTCCACAGATGAATGAATCGCTTTTTAATGTAATAAAATAATCAGGGTCAATAGCAAAAAGTAGTTATCTTGTAGTTATCACAATAAATTTCTTCTGTGACATAAACAGATGAATTTTCAGACTTCAATTATTTCAACGTTTTATTTATAGTGCTACCAGACAATAATCAAAACTTACCACAGATTATATCAAGGGCACATAATGCAATGTATAAACTGCAATCAAATGGATCTTTGTCCAGGTGTTGTTCAAGTTTTTGAACAAGGATACTGGCTTGTTCATTCATCACTTCAAGGAAGTCTACTAAGATTGTGAAATGGAAGGTTGGAGTTAACATTTTTCGTCTGGAGTGCCATTTTTTTCCAGTGCTGCAAAACAAAGAATTAAAAATAATATGCCTGTCCCAACCAAACCTTTCTTCCACAATATCATGATAAATGACAGAGAGAGAGAGAGAGAGACAGACAGACAGACGATAGAAAGATAAATGATAGATAGACAGACAGACAGACAGAAGATAGATAGATAGATAGATAGATAGATAGATAGATAGATAGATAGATAGATAGATAGATAGATAGAT